TTAGGTTGGAGGCCATCGCTACTAGGTTTGGAGGCCATCGCTCCTAGATTGGAGGCCATCGCTACTAGGTTGGAGGCCATCACTCTTAGTAGGTTGGAGGCCAGCGCTCTTAGGTTGGAGGCCAAGAGAGTGTTCTTTAAATTACTTTAAATTAACGCATGTTGAACGTCACTCTGCTGTTCCTTCCGACTTGGAGGTCACGGCGGGACCCCGAGCGCCCCGAACAGAGGGACGAGAGGTCCGAGAGGTCCGAGAGGTCCGAGAGGTGGGATGGGCGAGAAGCTCGAGAAGCTCGGGAGCCTCGAAGGGCCGGTGACCAAGAAACGTATTTGAAGAACTTGGTGGCTGAGCGGTTGAATTTGTGTCTTCATCTTATCATTTATACTCTATTTTCTTGTATTCCTTTATTCATGATATACTTGCGTGCAAGATGGACTCTATGGTTGATTTTGTTGTTTTGCTAACAGACTGGTAGAACGGTCTAAGGAGGATGGTCGTTGGTGGGGAGAGACTTGGCAGGCCTCAGAGCTCTGGAGCTTCTTCAGACGTAAAACATCGATAGCGCTATCCATAGCCGAATGTTTTTTGGACCTTATTCTTGAACTTCTAGCAACGATGCCTGGATAGAAGAGTTCCATCTCAAAGCTAGAAACTGCCGCTTGGACAAGGAGGGTCCTACCTACGAGCAGCAGGTCAGAGAGGGCTTTCTGCCTGTATGGCAAGGTGAGCTTGGCGAGCATCACGATACGGCACACAGCACTGCTCTCATGACTGACAGGCAGCAGGCTAGTGGCAATGGCCAAGGAGCACCAAACAGCTGGGAACTCATCAACTCCATTTGTTTCGAACTTGTCATTTTAAACCTCCTGTTGGACTGTTGGTCTTCCTTGCAAAGGTCTTCCTTGCAAATCCTCCATTTTCTTCCCCAAGCAGGTCTATATACTGGGGTTTCCAACTCCTTTGAAGGCCAAAAAGCCTTGTCTGCTGAACTTGTCTGTGGTCTCCCATCCCTTTCATGGAGTTTCCCTAAAAATCAAGGAACCAAGTCATTAGTGCGAGCGTGAGCTATCCTGCGTCCATATGTAGTAGCTTAAGCAGTAACTTACTCTCCCTTGATTACTTAATTAAGTAGGCACCTACTTAATCAAGTAGGAGGTCGGCAAAAACATGTCAAAAACAGACAGATGTTTGCTTTTCAAGTTCCAGTATGCTCTCAGTTTTGGGACTTGAGCCATTGTGGTGTCTTTGATGGCCCGTAAAAGGCTTGGATCGAAGAATGCCTGAGCCATATTGAACCCAATGTAGCCCACAACTGCGGTCGACCCTATCTTCTTTTTGCTGTTTTCCTTTTGCGGCGTCAATTCCTAGTTTGAGCTTTGCGCAGGTTTTCCTTGCTTGCCTCCTCTACTGTTTGATTGATTTGCAACCTATTTATAGTATCCTTGAAATCCTGAGCTAGATTTCCGCTTTGCTGTTTGCAGGGGAGAATAAAACTGGGTGCAGCAAAGAACAACTGCTCTTATGCTTGGCATGTGCCACTTGGGTGTTGTTCATCATATGTCGGAATATTGACTAAAACATAATAAAGATAGACATGACAAAGAAAAGCAAGGACGCAACACATAGAAGATTTCTTTGCGCTTCTGTTTTGCAGAGTCGTGGCACACACTCAATGTATTATGTGTTTGATTTGGCCGTGCCGCCCCTCAAAGGCCTAAGTGAAAACACTGCCTGAGTAAAACAATATGTAATGCGGTCCAACCATCTCAAAATGTCTCAAAAAGGTTTCCAGTGCCAAAAGGCTCAGTGCTAACGAAAAACGTCGAGAGCGAGCTGCTAGTGCACATTTGCAGCCCTGACAAATACCTAAACAGCCTGAAATCTCTGAGGAGCGCGTGGTTACAACCAATCACAAACCGTTCTTGGAAACGCAGGTACGTGCAGCTGATCAAGCTGCATACATGGAGAGCTTCGTTGGGCACAGCTCTACGAAAGACAACCTATGATTCCAAGGGTTACCACAGACACAAGCACTCAACAAGCAGGCTTCCAGGCCAACTACCTGTGTAGTTAGCTCAATCAATCTTTCACTGCATTGCATGTTTCTGGATGACCATCATATTTTACAAGATTGCATATGATGTCAGATGCAGAGATAGAGGCCAATATTTAAAGGCAGTTGCGCTGCTTATACACATTCACTATCATGCACTCACATACTTGTCACATTCCAAGCAGCGTGGCCGTCAAGCTCCTCGCATCGTGAGACCGCTGACATTCTGTAGGTGAGACCTGGAAGACGAGCAAATGCATATGGTCTGGACCTGAGCAAGTTTTTGCGCGTCGAACTCAAGCCCTGCTTGACCTTTGACTTTGTGAGGCGGGAAGGGCTTTGAGGGGAAAGGTGAACATGCCAAAGGTGATAAAGGCGATGGCAAGGGATACGATTTCAAGAACGAAGCCAAAGGAGAACGCAAAGGTGCGCATGTGCAACTGCACACTTGCAGTTTTTTTGTAGTTGTCTTGAATTGTCGCTGGTGGTCGTGCTATGTCATCATGTGGGTATGCTTGTGGCACTTGTTTGCAGGCAGAGGAAAGGATGAAAAGGGCAAGGAAGGAAAGGGTAAATTTGAGGGCAAAGGATTTCACATGGACAGCAGAGGTAAGGGTGCGGGTCTTGGATGTGTCGGTATAACAACTGCTGTCAAAGTCATTGCTGGTTTTGAAGGAGCTTTCCAGATTTCGTGCCATCTCCATCGCTCGAAGCAAGGTGATGGGTTCAAGCCAGAAGGATTCCGACATGAAGGGAAAGAGGAGGAGCAACATGAGGCAAAGGGATTTTAGTCACTGGTCCCTTTTGGCCCTCAAGGAATCGTATAGCTTGATGAACACTGATGAACTATTTTGAGGTCAAAGCGGATCGATATGGCAGGGGCTCGAGGCACTGTTCAGCTTAAAAGAAGCAGAGAGTGACGAGGTGTTTGCATGCTGAAAGGCAGCAGCGCTGGCGAGCTGTCAATGATAGAGACATCATCGTGCGTGTTGGTTTGGGTGTACCTCTGCCATGTGGCTTTCTGCAGAGCTTGAGTGTGACGCATGTCTTTGACTCGATTAGATGTCAGCCTGTCAGCCTTTGACACGCCAGATGGAGACCGATATTGTTGGAACACTCTTGGCGGGCTCGTTGGTGACACAGGTTGGTGAGGACAAGGCTGGAAGACTATAGTCACTAATAGTCACTATAGTATCAGACAATAACTTAGACTATAGTCTTAATTTTGCTGGTGCAAATCAGTACTTAACCCTGCGTCTGCCAATTTGCAGATTGTGAAAAATGGCATCGCGCGCATGTTCATCGAGTCAATCGAGCCAAACGCTGGGATCAAAGGCTGGGTCACCAGGAGCAACGAGAGTAGTGACGTTGAGAAACAATCAATGTCGATAATTAACACGATCGACGATCAAGCGCTTTCTGCGCAAGGAGCGCAGAAGCAGCCGGTGGTCCTGTGTTCTTCAAGCCTGACCGTGGCAATGTGAGGCTTCTATGTCTATGTTTTCAATCAAAGGTTTTTGCTCCTGACCACTAGAAGAGGCTAGCTTTCTAGGTTCAGACAGGAAGGATGGACTGACTGCTGTAGCTCATCAAGATGCTTTTGTGCTGTCAGATGATTCATAGTTCTATTGAAAGGCGTTTGGTGCCTTTCGTTCTACCTGAACGGATCAAAGATATACACAGGTAAAGGCTATGCGACCAAGCTTTGGAAGGATCGAAACAGCTTGACTCAGGGGGGAACCGCGTGGCAAAGAAGGAAAGGTTGGCAAAGGCAGCCAGTTTGGAGGTCTGGCAGACTGCAAAACGAATGTGTGTTCACATGGAATTGTGGCTGTTTGGTGCAGTACACAGACACATCATCGTATCCAATGTGGAGGCTAACAACTCCTTTGGTTGTGAAGTATGCATTTGTGACAACAAACCCCAGTGATACACACTCAAAACTGAAAGGTGAGAAAGGCGAGAAGGGGAAGACTGATAGCAAGGTGGGCCTGAACCGACGCTGTACGTTCCTTCTTTCTGGCATCACTTAGAGCTTCTCGCGGTATCGTGGTTATGGCTGGCACAACACCATTACTTTTACGTTTAATTCTATATTGTTTCTACTAGCTTCTTGCTCCTAGTAGTAAGGCCAGGAGCCCCTAGGCCCTAGTAGCGTTCTTGTTCCTAGTAGCGATGCCCTTTGCTACTAGTAGCTTCTTGTTATCCTTGAGTGCTCGATATTGCACTAGAACTCGGCTTGCAGGGAAAGGGCAGAAGACCAGTTGGTGAAGGGGAAACTGCAGGAGGCACGCGTGCAACTTCCTATTTGTCCCTTGCACTTGGGACTTTGGGACCACCGTCGGACCACCTCCTATTCTTTTTCAAGGCCGATTGGATCAACCTGATGACCAGCAGCCCCCACCGGTGGTTGCATCTGCTGAGAGTTCGTGATGCTTTGTCTGCGGCTGGCTGCGATATGAGGAGGGAATAACCCTTTTTCTGAATGCAGCGGTTCAGACAGAATACGAACCTGCAGCCCCTCACTCACACCTCAAACTGAATAGGCCACCGGAACAAGATTCATGTTTCTTGGATGATAGGAAAGATGGAAAGACATGGAAATACTATTTTTGCGTATTGCCCTGCATTTGGGTTGTCTGTGCCGTGCAAAAGTCACGCAGACTTGTAGGAGAGCCATGGCTGACTGCATGGAACTTTAATTCTTCGCTTATACACCTTGACACGCGGTTGAAGATGAGAACTTGAAGCAGAAGTGTCACGCTTGGTTACACATCCCTTGCTTCAACCGTGACTGGGGTGTAACTATGTTCAATGCTTTGGCAGATACCCCGGCTGATGCCGGGCCTGCCTTCCTGACCTGAACACACAACTCCTCAACAGGCAAAGTCAAACAATGGTAACAAAACCACGGGCAAAGGAACAACTGGAATCAAACTGACCTCCAGCAGCCTAATGCTGCGGAGACCCTATCCTGACTATCCAAATTGACCTTGAACCTTGAGATAGGTTGAGAAGGCTACATGGTTGATGCAACCAACTGTTGAGCTTAACCTAACAAGGTGCCCTGCGGAGGTATGCCGCTTCGAATGGTCCATCCTCAAAATGCTTTGAATTGCAACAAGAAGTTGCAACTTTCAGGCTGTGCCATTGCTCTTACAGCCTTTTTCTTTGAGCTGAACGGATCAAGTTGGTCTTTGTCGTTCAATGGAGAACCATGTTCTCCGCTCTGGACCAACGCTGAATCCAGCTTTGTTTCGTTGCTGATGCGAGACGTCGAGTCTGGGTTTGGGGAGAAGAGCTGCCCAACTTAACCCAACCTATATAATAGCGATGGCCTCCAACCTACTAGCGATGGCCTCCGCCCAAAGAGCAATGGCCTCCAACCTAATAGCGATGGCCTCCAACCTGATAGCGATGGCCTCCAACCTAATAAGGTTTTAAAAGTCAACTGCCCAACCCTGGTCATTCATGGAACCCTCTGGGAGCCTCAGCAAAAAGGTACGACGGTTTGTTCTCTGGAACTCTGCGGCTTGTTTTCTCGTTGTGAGTGGTTAGGTCTTTCGGCATAGCTTCGACATGAAAGAAGACAGCACGGTAAGATGCATGCCGCTGAAGCTCGCAAGCTCTTCCAAACTTGCATGAAGTGAATCGAAAAGGTCACTGAGACCATTGACATGCACATTGGTGTAGAGGCTGTGCAAGAGAATTTGACTTGGAGACAGGTTGGGGCTGACAGGAATCAGAGATTTGGTGAACTGTTTGTAGTCGGCGAAGGCGGAAGAACAAGTATACATACACAGATACGCACAGCAATGCATCGATCATCGTCACGATGGATGAGAAAGATGAGAAGGAGTGAGCCGTCAAAGATAGATGATAGATGAGAATCCTGGTCAAGAAGCTGTTTTGCGTATGGTGGAGTGTTTGGGAAGCACCAAAACGAAAAACGTCCAAGCATCGCATACCCTTTCTAGGAGAGATGCTTCCAAGACCTGGCAAAGCTTCAGAGATGCGAAGGCCAGCGCTTTTTGGGCGAACAGATGCCATTTCTCCAGCATGTTTGGATTTGGGCAACATTTGGAACGTATTTGGACTATTTGATAGATTATATTTCGTCAACCTTTGCAATTGCGGAGTTGTACTCCAACATCTATATGGAGTTTCCTTGCCTCAACTCTAGTCCAAGGTCATCAATCCATTCGCCGAGTACCAATGGATCTCTCAGCCATACCCGGACTACAATATGCCGAAGGTGCCAAAGAACAGCTGTGTAAGCATTGATCAATCAAGGCTTTGCTCAGATGATATGTCAGATGTCAGCTTGCCTTTGGCAAGGTTGCCCAAGACGTCAGACCTCATAGGACTGCACTTCGAGTTATTTTCTCAGAAATACTGGACATGTCAATCTCCCCCCCAAAGAGGTTTTTCAGAAGACAAATCCTTTTTGCTAAAGTAGCAGGTTGGGCCGCATCTCCTGCTTGAACTAAGTCAGGACACTTCGAGCTATCAGCCACTGTGATGAAAAGGGCTGGTGGCATATCCTTGATGCCAAAGGCAGCTTCCCACCTTTTTTGAACGAAAGACACAGACAAGAGGTCGCGAAATGGAAGACTTGACCAGGCCGAGAGGTTGGCAAGCTGGCGGCTTTTGTGGCTGGTCTTCTGAAGGGAAAGCACCGTCAGGCTCCAGGCTTTTCTGAGTCGTGTAGAGGATTCTAAGGAGCAAGTTTAGCGACAAAGTTTCTCCGGCATATGGAAGGTTTGGCTCTGATCTTGGCAAAATTGGAACACAAGTGTAAGCACAAGGCGTCTGCAAGGCTTCGGTGCCGCCTGTGAGAAGGATGCTTTCCAACTCAATGCTAAACACCCAAAGGGTAGAGGAGCTGATCTATGGAGGCTTCATATGTGGAGGAAGCCTTCTTGCAGTGCACTTGGTTTTAGGAAAAGCTGCTAAGAGAGCAGGCGGCCGGATTGAGAAGATGTTTGTTGAATTTCAAAGGAAAGCCTTCCACATGATTGGTGGTTGCATAATATGCAGCTGCTATCATTGGGGCATCAAGCACAAATATATTAGACCAGCTTTCTCACCAGAAGCAGACAGCACTACAATGGACGGGGGCGCTGCCTTTTTGGCCGTATCCTTCGTGTGTTGGATTGTTGAGGCCTCGCGCTTGACTATCCCTGCAGTGCAGAGCTGGTACTTGAAAACCTTCAAAGGTCTCATTCGACAGAAAGAGCACAGCAAGGCAGCTGGCATTGCCTACTTTTTGCCCGGAGCTTTGGCTGCCATGATGGCAGCACCCAGCAATTTTGCGATCCTGGGGATCCTCTTCCTGTCCGTGGGTGATGCAGCGGCTTCTATCGGCACAGCTGGTGGCTACATTCCAGTTGGAACCTCATCGAGAAAGGTAGAAGGCAGCATTGGTTGCTTCTTGGTGTGCACGGCCCTGGCGATATATGCTGGGCTCTCCACCGAAGTCTCACTCATAGCCTCTGGTTTCGTGACGTTTGGAGAGGTCCTAGCCGAAATCATTGGGCTGGATGACAACTTTGTGATTCCCATTCTTGGGGTTCTTGGAGCTCGGATTGGACTCTTTCCTCAGCTGGGCAAGATGGCACTTGTTATGTGCGGTGGCCTGGGGATTGGCGTGGGACTAGCAGCGCTTGTTGGTTCTACTACTTCGAAAGAGAAGTAGACCCTGCCACCATGTCAGCACACATTGATGGCTTTTTCACAGATGTGAATGGTTTCAGGGAAGGAGCTTTGGCAATCCTGAAGGAACATGGCAGACTTCCGTGTTTCAGTTCCAAATCAGAGGACACTTCAGGCGTCTCAGCCTACAGGCGGCCAACGGCGGCCAACTGGGCTTCGATGGCAGCTGGACATGAAGTTGCTTTCGTGGCCGCAGGATCAATTCAATTGCGCAGGTGCAGGACGCATCGAATAATTCGGGTAGAGAGCCTTTGTGGCTTCAGCACTTCCTGTTATAATGAATATGACAAGGGAACATTTCAAGATTGATTCGGGAAAGGGAAGCTCACGATTGAAGAAGACATAGCTTTGCTTCACCTGGGAAGCCGTAAAGGCAAGATCCATGATGCACAATCCCTGCGGAACTGTGCCCCTCTAGCGAGATCAAGGTGCATCGGTAAAATGGGCTTGTTGAGAGATTATTCATCTGCAAAAAAGGACTCCACAGATCATGTTTTTTGTGTGTCATTACATACAAAAACTGACTCCAGCCCAGGTGTCGACTTTGCGCCTGACCGCATCAAAGGCATGACGAGAAGGGGGTTTGGAGGTGTTGTTGTTGTTGATACTGGTAGAAAGCACACAGGAGTCAAGGAGAGCTTACAAACTGTAACAGCCAACGTCGCAGGTGACTCGGTGATCATTGTGAATGCTATCCACTTGCATTTCCCCGGTCACACTTGGGTGCGCTTGGTCCAGCAGTCTTTGTGGTCTCAACCTTTCAGCCTTGTCAGCTGTCAGGATACCAAGATCTACAGGTTCATGCGAAATAGACGCTTGACTAAATAGCGCTTGTTGTATGGACTGAGGAAATACTGACAAGCTGAGGTTTCATTGAATATGCTGCTACGTCAAACATTTGTGGCCATTGAATGCAGGAACTTTGATGATGTTGAAAGCCTGTCACATGGTCGGGTCAAACTCCCCAAATGACATTCTGAATGCGAAGTTGTATTGTATAGTATACCAGCTTTTGCGATTGGCTCCAAAGCTGCTGCAGCTGCTGCAGAAGTTGCCCCATTGAAGACTATCATTGACCGCAGACAAATACATTTGTCAACCACTTTTCTGAGGATTCACGGATCCTCGTGGAGCCAAGGCTTGATTCTGATTTTGTGCCTCTGTGGCCTCTGAACTACATGTGCGCAGGTGGTGTCTGCGACTAGAATGATGATGCTGAATCCGTCTATCGTCATATCACAGGTGGGACAGAGTTGCCAGTGAAACAGAGCTGAGCTAGCCCAGCTTGCAGGCAGTCAAAGGCATGCTGTCAAAGAATCTGTTGCGAAACAACTGGATGCGCAGGTGGGGTAGACAGGGTAGATACCTGTCTAATCCGTGGGTCAATTTTGCGATCTTTTGATATCTTTTGTATTTCTATGTATTTTGAGTGAACACATTCCGTGAAGGCTCTACTGTTATCCTGGTGCCATCCATCCGTCCCAGCCTTTGCTGATTTGCAAGGGGACACTTGGAGACTCCAGTGGAGACGACGTCTTTGCAAGGCACTGGGGCATTCCACAGGTGGTTGTGCCTGTTGAAAAGAAGTTGACTCCTTAGACAGAGAAAAGAAAACAGTTCTGGTTCAGGTGGGCAAACAGAACAAGCACAACTACAAGCAGGTCCAAACCTAGAAGATGTTTTTGCATCTCAATGTGCTCAGGCCTGAATTGCTCCCAAATGCCTTTACAATTGATGAGGAGGCTTTCGTAGCAGTCTACTTTACAATACAGTTTCTGCTGACTTGAACCGCAACTGATTGAGGCGAAATCCTTAGAGTGACCTTCCCTGGTGCTTCTCACCAGTTTCGTTAATGCCTCGCGCTTGCTGAGTGTGATGGGCAAATGCCCGACTGGAAGCAGGTGCTGCGAAAAGGGAGCCTCTGAGTGTTGGCAACACAAAGCATTGAGATAGCATTGAACTGCACGTTTAGTGCTCGTTTTGCCTGCTGCATTTTGCCATCGTAGTTAGTTAAAGTTGAGATGAGCGGGCATCACTGATGTCGGCCGAAGCAACAAAGGAGTAGATTTTGGATGCAAGCTCTATGGCGTACTTGGTAAGAAACCAAACATCTCCGTTTCAGAATGGTTTCAGAATGGTCTTTTAGTTGCTAGGGCTGCTAGGGCTTGGACTGTTGTGTACTACGCGTTCGTAATCAGCCAATTGGCAGATGCACCGGGCAATGCGACACCTTGTGATGTATCCGTCCTCCCTTCCTTGTCTACCGATGCACTTCCAGCCCTACCCATCCACTTCCACCAAGCAATCCAATCCCACCATTCAGATGAGCAACAAGTTACTTTTTTGGTGAAGTGCATGGACCCTTTGATGAAGCGGGATTGCTGACCTTATATAGTATAGGCTAGGGATTTGTTTGTTTGAACGCTTGACTTTGCCCCCTTTCTGTTTGTTTTTCTGAAGGAGGCAATCGCCAAGAAAGAGGAGGTGAAACCAACCGTTGCAGCTGTTACGCCCGAAGCTTATATATACACCCTAAATTGCAAACAGACACTTGATGCTCAGGAGTGCTTCTTAAATTAAACACATTTAGATTTAAGTTTCTTTACATAAATGTTTTCATTCTTCATGCAACTGACATGATCCAAGGTACATTTGCGGAAACTGCGGCTGCCTGGTGGAGATCAAGTCGAATGACATTATCAGATGTCGTGAATGTGGGTGCGCCAGGATGCTGAACATGTTCTCCGGTTTATTTTGTGTTTTTTTTCTTTTTAAACCGGGCACAGCTTATCCATGCAGATATCGAATCCTCTTCAAGATGCGTTCAAAGAAGCCCATGCAGTACCAGGTGCAGCTGTGCTTTGTTTAACAAACACTTTAAAGTGTTGCTTTACTATATTCTTCTCGTTGTTCCTTGCCTCAGCACTCCGGAGATTCGGGTTCCTAAGAAAAAGTGTTTGCATTTGGAGATTAGACACTTGATATTTTATAGGCGATCTGAACGCCTGAGAGAAGCACAAAGCCAAAAGGGCCCAAAGCGCACAGTACCGTAAAAGGACAAAGTCTATGACGCTGTGAAAGATGCTGAAAGACGAAGTCTCAACACATTACTGAACCGACTGCTGCACGCATGACTGTTGGCTTCTTGTAGGCAAGGGTAAGCCCATCTGTACGCCGATCTTGGCTTGCTACCGCTTTGAATATGACATGTGTGACATCTCATCAGGTGGTTCAAGTGATTTCCTTTCGCAATGTCGCAGAAACTCTATCTTCAAGCGAAAAGCCAGGCTTTCGATGTCGGATTCAAAGTCGCTGTGTTGGTCGTTTTCTGATTGACAAGGTTTGCAGTAGTGCCAAACCTTGTAGGTCAGAGCTGCATACGATGAGCTTGGGGATTGGATTTTTGAGGCACAATGTGCGAGAAGAAAAGGGACATTTTTTAGTAGGCTGCCAAGACGTAGTCGCTAGAGGTAGCCAGCAGAATCAAACAGTAGCTAGTAGTTTAAGTAGATACTACATATGGACGCAGGATAGCTCACGCTCACTATTCATTTGGTTCCTAGATTTTAAGGGAAAATTCAGCCTTGCTCAGTCTTTGCTCAGACTTTTGGAGAAGGGCGGCTGGACAAGTGTGATGAGTTGGAAGAGGAGCATTTTGGCGAGGATGCAGAGAAAATAGGTGAGCAACATCAAGCGGTGGTCGGGAGATAAAGTGAATTATGAAAGAGAGAAAGCAATAAACTAAATGATTGAAAGCAGACAAAAAACATATTGACTATGAGCAAGACCACTTGTTCATCAGGACATTTGGGAAGTTGCAAAGCGGAGACGTGGGATGCGCTTCTTTACTGCAGGCCGGCCCAGGCGCTGAAGAGAGCAGCGTAAGTCTGTAAACGCTTTTTTCAATAAGGCTACTAGCGATGGCCTCCAACCTAATAGCGATGGCCTACAGCCTTTAAACGCATGTATTGGGCCTATTTCAATAAGGCCCCCTTTCCCCCTCTCAGACAGCAGGGGTATATACTTGGGATTCTTGATTGCTGCTGTGTTTCTCTTGGAAGGGACCGGAAAAGATTTGCCTCCATCTTGTTTCCGTAGCGTGGCTTCAACAATCATCAGCATTCTTTCTGTTCTGTATGGAAATCCACTGCACTATTTTGAGTGACCAGCCAAGGCTATTTAAAGGGGACCCGAACGAAACACTCTATCAAGAGGCGCGGGCCGTTCAAGTCAAGTCAGTGTTCTGTGGATTGCTGGGAGGCTTTCCAAGACGTCCTCCGCGTCGCTGGAGTTTCTGTGAAGCCGCAGTCTAGGCTTTTGGATGCTTTTGAAGCTTCTCCGAATTCTTCCATGCAACGACCGGTTTGTGTCAGGCACAAGCTCTCGTTTGGCGGTGGTATTCTGTACTTCACTGCAGATAACCAAGGAAATTTGCAAGAATCTGAGACGTTTTCGATAGTTGGTAGGACCTGTGAGGTGGAACTGAAAGAATGTGACACAGACGAGGTATGGTGTGGTGGCCTCCGACGACTATCCCATGTCGTTTGTTTTCGAGTTCTTGGATGACATGCTGGAGGCACTGTTCCATTTGCAAGGAGATTCCATTGGAGATTCGTGCCTTTTCCAGCACCGACAGCTACTCCATGTGAGGTCTATGAAAGCATTGATGTGGCCAGTGCGTTGAACAAGGCTAGAGAAGCACAGCCTGACAAGATACTGCTAGCTGCTAGCTGCCCAGCTACAGCCAAATAGGGAAAATCAGAGCCCGTGCAGGCTGACGAGACTTTGTGGGCAGAGCAGCAGTTTGTTGAAGATGCGCACTGCTCTCAGATAGACTTTGCATTGGCCTTTGATGCATGCTTGATTGGAAACGAGAAATGTCAGGTTTGGCGTGAGGGAGCTGGCTCTGGAAAGTTGGAAGAAGAGGCAGATGTTGATTCACAAGGTATCTCACGATACAATCTGCGGGCACCAAACATGGAAAGCGTCGTGGACAGGGTGCGAGAAGGAGATGGCTCCTCATTCTATTTCCCAGCAGCTGGGATCTACGTATGTTTTAATTTGTCTATGCTCACAAACTGAGTGGAGCTTCCAATTCCTTGGATTAGTAGCAAGAAGCTACTAGTAACAAGGGCATAGTAACAAGGACGCTACTAGTAGCTCCTGGCACTACTACTAGTAACAAGAAACTACTAGTAACAAGTGCATCGCTACTAGGAACAAGGGCATCGCTACTAGTAGCAAGGACGCTACTAGTAGCTATTTGCTACTAGTACAGGTATTGTGCGTCCACATTTCAATCAGAGTTTTCCTTGGATTTGTCAATGAGTTCTCCATCGATTGAGGAAGATGCACTCCGATCCTCTGAGTTTGTTGAGCGGCTCTGATGCGCCGGAGACTCGGCCAAGGGACGGGGAGGATGGGGGAAGGCTTCAAGAGGGTCACTGTACCGGTACCGGGACCATCCAAAGTCACCGGTGAAATGCAAAGTGGCTGGGCTTTCGATTGAGCCATAGCCTGAGAAAATCCCGTGTGTGGGTGAGAATGGTGGATTGATTTTGTGTTGTTTTGGATCCAATGAAATGTAATTGCTCACAAAACCAAGGTCCGCTTCAAAGGGTATGAGCACGCTACGCAGACAACACTTGACTTAATCTTCTGTGCGATCGGTCTGCAGAAGAGTCCCACTTCAACGACTTTGAAGTCTTTTGTTTTATGCTGATGGCAAGACACTGGGAAGTGTCCGCGCAGAAGATGTCGCTGCCGCTGCACGTGTGAGGGAGGTGTTTCGGGAAAGCGATGATGTCGCCTCAATGCTTCATTCAAGT